GATTTTTTCCATTGTGATTCTTTTTCTTATGCTTATATTGAGGCTTATTCGTAGTCTCCACAACATTGGCCTTAGAGACACTTACCTTAGTCTTTTTAATTTTATCCTTCAAATGATTTTTCTCCTCAATCCTAATATGGATAATCACATCTTCCAAGGACATATCCTTTCTTTTATGTTTAAGATTGTTCTTGTAAACTTTCCAAGAATCAGGTAATTTTTCAATCAAAGCACCGGCTACGAATGACTCGGGCAAAATAATTTTATCATTCCTCAACTCATTAATAATCAAATGATACTCATGAATTTTTAGAAGACACATCCTTCTCCTCAACCATCTTATAGTCTAAGAAATTTTCTATTGCATATTTTTTAATCTCCGCTTCTTCGATAATATATCTTTTTTATCAAACTATCCCAAATCTTCCTGGCATGCTTATAATGATAATAAACATAAAATAATTCATTTGATAAAGCATTCAAGATAATATTCCGACAAACCTTATCATCATTTTTTCAATTTTCTTTTTTCTTTTAAAAATTTTTTTTGTATCTTCTTCGGGTTTTAAATCAGTCAAAACAAATGTAACACTTGCTATATCAAATAACATCATAATTCTCTGTTGTCAACGCTTAAAATTAGATATATTAAAAGACTCAATTTTTGTCACATCGAGAATGGTCTTATTTATAATTGTAGCATCCATATTACTTCTATTCTTAAGATTGTTGTTAAAAAAAAAATTTGAAGTCTAGAATGCTACAAATTGAAATTAAACAAGATAAGAAAACTTATCGATAGAGGCATGTAGTCACTGTCCTTAAGAATAGATTTTCGCCCCTCTGAGTATGTAACCCGGTGCAACAGGTTATAACGTTCTATCCTTCAAGATTTAACTATTATTTCTCCACAAGCGTGCACTCGCAAATATAGAGGTGTCACAAATAACTCTTGATCGTTTTTGAATGAATACCAAGATTTCAAGTAATAATATATTTAAAAATATATCAAAATTAGATTCTAGCAATTTGATAAACAACTCAAAAAAACTCACTGTGTATGAAAACCCTCTACGTAGAAAAATCCACTAGATAACAAAATGAATGTGTCAAAGTTTTGAGAAAATGATGTCTCTTAACAGTTGGCTTCTCTCTATTTTCTTACTTTTCTCGCTTTACTTTTGTTTTTTTTTCCCTTTTCGTACACAAGCCATATATATGCCTGAATAGTAGGCTTTAAATAGTGTTAGAAAAGTTGCAGAGGGATGCAATGGTTTGCATCCAACGGTTAATTACAAAATTCAATAGTTAGTAACCAACAATTAAATCCTTTGAAAATTTATTTCCCATGTAATATAATAAATTAATATAATATAAATAATAAATCAAATGATTATAATGTGTATTGTTCAGGTCATCCAATAGGTCTAAAAATAATTTTAAATAATTTTTTTTGTAACTTATATTTCTACACACACACACATATATATTGATGTTAGAAATAAATAAAATAAATATATATTATATTTTGAAATATACATTAAATACAACAGAAAGCATGGCTATTAAAACATTAGGTTTTCACTATCACACTCTTAAATTTGATTTTCTGTGTAATATACCAAAATTAACATGTGATATAAACGTGGCTTCATGAAAGATGGAATCACCATTTTCAATATCATGCCAACAGGTGGTGTAGTTTCTTAGAATAGTTTGATTAATTGCTGGCCATGTCCTTCTCAGGCAGGATGATGAGGCTTCTGTTGTTTGGGCGAGGAAAAGACAAGTTCACGACCAAATAATATTACATATCTCTTAATAAATTCAAGTGGATGGGAGTATACTTTGGATCGAAATTATGGGGAGTACTTCTTGATCATTTCTACTAACTTAAAGCCCCAATTAAAATTCCTTTTATGCACAAAAATATCCTGTTGGATAACTTATACAATCTCCATTATGAATCCTTTGTGTATCTTGGTGTTCCTAGCCACCCACTCATTTTTTTCCAATCTCCTATTATGGTAATACACGTTTGTTTCTATAGATTTTTTCTTCTCTCTATGTAGACACTATGTCACATTGAGTCCACTTCGGATCATTATGCATCTTTGGTTGGTGTTTTAGTTGTTGGATCTGTATATTTTGACCCAAACGTTTATGGGATGCCGCTAAAAACCAACAAATAGCAACTAGAAGAAGCAGAAAAAGTGCATGTGGGATGCCCTTTGCTCCAGAAATGGGAGTCCAAAGCCTTCTCTTTGGTGAGGTTTGTTTAAAAGTTGTAGAACTTGTTCAAATACGACGTAGACTTCTATTTGGTTTTTTTTCCCAGTATTTCTAATTTTTTTGTAACTTGTTTCTTTGTTACTACTATCAAATGCATTTGGTGGAGGTTAGCAATTCTTTTGTTAATTTGATAAAAGTCATGATGTGCAATTAGGAGATAGACAGGTTGTTGTTCCTATTTACTTTAAATCTTAGATTTCAGCTTTGCTCATTTTTGGTACATAGGCATATATATGCGCCGTGAATTGTTATATTATTCAATTTTTTTTAATTATATCATTTTAATTCTTGAAGAATTTAATATATTTATACGTGATTCTTCAAGCCGATAACGTTCAGATCGCTAACAGTTTTTGATTATAAACTTGTCACATGTTACCTAAATATAAACAAAAAATTAATTTGGATATCTTTTAACTAAATTTTTACCCTAATTTTGATCAAAGAGCTACCAAAATTACGTAATTTTTTTTGGTTAAAAGCTGCCAAATTTTGATTAAGAAATACCAAAATTACACATAGATATACGTAGATCTCCCTTGAATTGCGAAAGAGTTAAAGTTTAAATTAATTGTAACAACTTTACTTTAAATGGTAAGACATAGGCACGAAATCCGTATAAAATATATTAGAATCAGATCAAATATAAAAATCCTATTTACCTCCTCTAGAACATATTGAAGTGGAATGATCATGAAATTTCACAAACATTAGCAGCACAATAGTTCTTATGTGTTCAAATCTCTCTCTCTCTACCAATTTGAATGAACCTTGGAAATAAAAAATTACCTAATTAAAAAATTGGTGATTAACACAACCAGATTTCTCTTTTACAATGGACGATGAGATATGAAAATGTAACAGTAGATTAGATTGTATTTTTTGGAAATATTTATATTGTCAATGTTTTTCTTTTAAATGATTTTTTTTGGTCGGATCTTTTAAATTGTTTGATAATTGCATATTAACAAAAATGAAAATGAAAATTTTTTATTGTTAGCTTATTTTTATTAGTAATATAGATGTAAAGATAGAAAAGACACATTTTTACTATTTTATCTAACTTCATATTTTAGTCGAGGCCAAGAAGCCCAATTTCAAACACCACCTCTAAAAATGCTATTCCTTTAAATTGTTTGATAAGTGCATATGGAAGATTTTACCATTTTAAAAAATGTTTTATTTCGGTTTGGAGTATTAAATTATGTCATGATTCGTTAACATGACATGAATATGACACAAAATTAGATAGTTTAGATATTCTTTGAAGTTACTTGTTTCAAATTAGGTATAAGTGAAGTCCAATGGTACTCTTTATCTTGTAAAAATTTGTCTTTTTGAGGTCAAAGGTTCAAGCTTTTCTTCCCCTTCCCATCTCCAAAAAAAAAAAGGGTTAATTGCAAGTTGCACCCCAAAAGATAGTGAGAATCTCAATTTACACTCCCAAAGATAAAAAATTTTAATTTACTCCCTTAAAGATATAAATTTGTATCAATGTGCACCCCCAAAAATAAAAATCTCAATTTGCACCCTCAAAGATAGAAATTTGTATCAATATGCACCAAAAATTAAATTGATAAATTATACCTAGATCCCCTCATACTTGTCACTTAATCATTTGAACCCCTTCACATTTAGAATATTACTCGTATATCTCATGACGTTTGTGCACGTGTAACATGTAATTCCTTTTCATTGATATCTGTTAGTATAACTGTTAAAAAATATAATTTTATCCTAATAAAAAATTATAATTTCATATTACCCTTTATTTTGTGGGTTCGATATACTTTAAAGTTCAAAATCAAGTTTGCCATTGAACAATATAATTTTTTATTAGAATAAAATTATATTTTTTAACGGTTATATTAACAGATATCAATGAAATGAGGTTACGTGTTACACGAGTACAAACGTTATGAGATGTAGGAGTAATATTCTAAATGTGAAGGGATCCAAATAATTAAGTGACAAGCATAAGAGAATCTAGGTATAATTCATCAATTTAGTTTTAGGTCCACATTGATACAAATTTTTATTTTTGAGGGTGCAAATTGAGATTTTTATCTTTAGGGGTGCACATTGATACAAATTTCTATCTTTGAGGGTGTAAATTAAAATTTTTGATCTTTGAAGGTATAAATTAAAATTTTAACTATCTTTCAAAGTACAACTTGTAATTAACCCAAAAAAAAAAAAGGTATAAGTGAAGTCAATCAAAAAATAAACGATATAATTCGTTTATATATGATTTAAATATGACACGATTTGTTAGATACAAATTAATAAATAATTAAATATTTTTTAATATAAACTCGTTTCACCTTATATAATTGACGGCCGTGATTTCAGTCAGCCAAAAAAAAATTGGTATTGAGAGTAGATGACGCCAATATTATACTGAGCGGTGTCCATTTTTCTGGACTAGTGTGGGCGATGGATGAAGTCCATTTTAATAAAACGCTTAATCGTGCGTGACACGTGACATTGCTTCCTTTCCTTTATAACCGCCTCGATTCCACGCCCGCACATTATTTAGGTTTGCGCTTCCTACCTTCTTCGTCGTATATTGTCCTTTCACGTATGTAAAAAACCTAATTCCTTTTAAGAAATACAGCACTCTTATCTCTCGTTTCCCCTCCACCCTATATATTTATATTTATATTTATCTTCTAGTGATGGTTTTTTGAGCTTGAGTTGATTCAACCATGTCAATTCGATTCAAATTCAGAAGCTCCGTGAACTTTGACTTGATCGACATCGAAGGTCGACCCTCAATCTCAGTCCGTGACCTGAAGTCCAAGATCGTTCGCCAGAAGAAGCTCAACATATCTCAAGACTTGGATCTCGTCTTCTCCGATGCCCTCACCGGTCAAGGTCAAAGTCTCTCTCAACATGCAATCGTTTTTTAATTAGCGTATCTTTTTGGATACAGATTATTGTTTATGTGGTACTAAGGTGAATGGTTTTTAATAATTCATCTTGTTTCGTTACTGGCTTTGTGATATGCTTGTTTGTTATTGATTGAATTTAGAGTACGATGACAAGAATTTTCTAATTCCGAGTGGCTCAAGCATAATTATTAAGAGAGTTCCAGCTGGGACGGTGCCTTCAGCTTTGTAAGTTATCTCGCATTTAATATATTATTATTTGTTGGAATAGATTTTTCTTGTATGGAATGTGCCTTTAGCTTTGGAAGTTATCTTGCAATTAACTTAATTGGTAGATTTATTTTTTCAAAAGAAATGCTATAGAAGGAATTACACTGGTAGCATTGTTTTGTGAGTTAGAGAACTCAGAATTTATGAAATAAGGGAAATGTGATGAGATTAAGACCTTTACAATATAAAAAATGCATGATCAGTTGATGCAGTGTATGCATGTAGTTAAATATCATGATCAGTGCAAGGCCATGGGTGTTCCTAGCGGTACGCAACATGATTCTCGGTTCGGAATTTTCCTGCAAGAAGACTACGCTGAAGGATTGTACAATGATAGCATTGCTTTATGAATTTGAGAGCTAAGAATTCTTGAAAGAATGGAAGTACAATGGGATTGATAATAAACCCCAAAAAATGTCACGGACGCAGAAAAAAAGTGAAGAATTTGACTGCATGAATAGCTGATGTGATTTCTAAATATGGTTGATAAAGCACGACCAACATGCGTGCATGGGTACGTAGTGTGATTCCATTACTCTCGGAATAGATATCTTAAAGAATAATTGCCATATTTACACGCATGTGGATAAAAATCACAGGCTGTGGCATTTGTCCAGTGTGTTAGTTATGTCTCTTCCGGATTATTGTAAAGGAATCTAGGTTTAGGAATCTATAATAAATCCTTGGATTTTTCATTAGACCCATCATAGTCATGGACTTATGAGGACTGTATGAGTTCTGAAGTTATAAGAGTTTAGAGGATATTGGAATGAGCAGTTTCAAAATTTGATCCCCATGACTTGGCTTTGATTGTCGTTTGTCTCTTCTACCCTTCTTGTTTTGGATAGGGAAAGCGGACATATCACTTTCATTAATTAGTGTAGGTGGGTTTTAATCAAACCGTATGATATGTCCACTCTCTCTCTCTCTCTCTCTCTCTCTCTGAGTGTGTGTGTGTGTCTGCGTCTGCGTGTGATATGGACGTTGTTCTAGATTGCCCTATATCAGGGTTTAATTCCATAACTTCTTGAAAGAATAACTGCCATATTTACACGCGTGTGCACAAAAAACCGTAGGCTGTGTCATTTGTCCTATGTGCTAGTTATTTTTCGTCTGGATTATTTTAAACTAACGTTCGAAATGTTCCGTTTTTTAAGAAAACCCAAACGAATCAGTGATGTAATCGAAATTTTAATATTACGAGGTATTCCATAATGTTTCGAGATGTATTATAATATTTTAATGCATTTGTACAATTATTTCAAAATATTTTAAGGTATTTCAAGATATTTTGATATATTTCAATCAATGTTTTAGAAAAATAATTCTTAAATTTTTTATTTTTTTCATTATACTTCTGAAATATGTTGAAATATTTTCGAAACATGTTGAAATGCTTCCGTTTTCTAGGTGACCGAAACAATCCACTGAAACGAAATTTTGATCCTAGTTTAGACCTTGTTTAGACCTATGATAGTCATGGACTTATGAGGACTTCATGAGTTCCTTAGGTTATAAGAGGTAGGACGATATCAGAATGAGCGGTTACAAAATATGATCCACGTGAGTTGGCATTGATTCTTGTCTCTCTCTTCTATCCTTCTTGTTTTGGATAGGGATAGCAGACGACCTAATCTTTCTCTCTCTCTTTGTGTTTGTGCATCTGATATGCATTTTAGTCTAGATATAACCCTATATGGGGGCTTAAATCCATAAATTTTGGAATAGATATCTTGAAGAATAACTGCCATACTTACGTGTGCATAAGAATCACAGGTGGTGGCATTTGTCCAGTGTGCTAGTTATTTCTTGTCTGCATTATTTTAAAGTAATCTAGGTTTAGGGATCTATCATAAAAGGGAAACATGGCTAATTGGAAAAATATTGACAACCAAATAGTAGTTGTTGCCTAAAGAGCAAGGTTTTTGACTTTGAGGCTTGAGAGACCTTGGAAGGAGGGAGAGATTCCCCAACACATGCGGCTAGGGCTTGATGAGAAAAATGTAAAAAATTTTACTATTCAATTTGAGCTATTTTCGAAAGACTCTTAGACCCATGATAGAGTACTACAACAACTATGATAATAATGGTAGTAGTTCTAAGATGATGATAATAATAATAGTTTCGTAATTTAAATGCCTTAAACAACAAAATGGCTCAAAAAAGGGGTGTTTGGTACTTGCTTGATGATCTAAAGCACAATGGAACCGAAAGCTCAAAAATTGTGAACACCTTAAAATAAAATTCCTAACTAATTTGTAGGATATGTATCTAAGTTGCTTTGAATTTGTGTTATCGGGAGTACCAAGAGGCGGGCTTAAGTTGGTTGATCCCTGCAACATGTATTTCTTTGTTTAATGAGCGTGTTAAAAGGGTTTGGGGATTTGACAAAGGGGTTACTCTTTGGAATTGTGCTATCATTGCTACTATGTGGGTTTTTTGGAAGGAGTGAATTATAAGAATTTTTGAAGTCGGAATGAGAGTGTGGAAGGATTGTTGGAGCATATTCATTTTTTGGCATCGTTTTGGACTTCGATTACAAAGGATTACAAAGGCTTTTAAATGAAATCTGATTTTTGCTATAGTAGTGGGATGGAGAGCATCATGTGATTTATAGGCTTCTTAAAGTTTGTTGCTTTTCAATTTGTGTTCCCTTGATTATGATTGGATTTTTTATCCAATCTTTCTTGATGTACTACCTTTTTCTATTTTAATACAAGAGTTTATGTTTTCTATCAAAAATATATATATATATATACATATATCTATGGTGCTAACTGAGCCAAGCTGGGGCATACATAGGGTTGGCTCATCTTGACAGAACGTTCTAGATCTTGGCTTGTCTGGAATTCAAATGAACCTGAAAAACACCGTTTACTTGACCGAGCCTTGTTTGGTATGTAAATGGACCTGAACAAACGTTTTTCTTTAGCCAAGTCTAACTAGCCATAAACAATTTCTCATTTGCAGATGGAGTATCCGAGTATGCCTACATTTATATAGTTACTCTGTAGAATGGGTAGTATTCCCAGAAGGTATTATGAAGTTTTTAGTTCATACATGAAGAAGAGAATCTGCTATTATTATATTTGGTTATTGGATAATGAGTTATAGTTGATTGACAATTAATACTGATTGAATTCTTTGAGATTGTATTTTCAGTTTCCTTCTATATCTTGTTTTGTATTTTATTTGCAGTTTAAACTTTAAACCTTAAAACTTCCTAAGGAACTATTTGATTGCAAATGATTATCTGTTACAATTGTTATCATGGCTTCTGCCACTAGGAGGCGTTGTATCTGGGGCATGAGGTGGTCTTTATTGTTGACTAGCTTTCTACTTTATCAATTTTTCTTTTCTCTCATGTGGTGTGACTTTGTGCAGAGCTCCCATTGATACAGTTGAGAATTTTGGGATGAACGACTCCAATCTTTTTAACCCAATGGTAGGTCCAAGATCTCTCCCTCTCTCTCTCTCTCTCTCACACACACACACACACACAAGTGGAGTGCCATTGAAAATTTTGGTATGACACCACTGGTAGCAGAAGCCCTCAGCATTTGTGAATCACTGTATCCCATGACCTTGTTTGTTTTTGGTTGGAGCACTGATTTTCTTATTCTTTTTTTTTTGTTGTCTTCTTTTAAGAAGCACCATAGGTAATGTCCCAAAAGTTGTTTCAATGTCTTTGGAGTGTGGACTTTTAGGGGAAATTTTTACTGCAGAGCTAATTACAGCCACTTGGACTGACCTTTCTAGTGCTGTCCACTTTAGAAATCCATACTTTTCTATTTAATCAGAGGAGAGCCCCTGAAGTGACTAGATGGGGTTATTGTTTAACATTTATCAAATTACGCACTATCTTGTAAACTGAAAAATATCTGCTTCTTTGGTTGACATCTGTTTGTAATTACTTGCATCCTCCATTTTCAGAGTGGACAAATGGACGATTTTGAGGACTTTGGGGTTGATTTGTGTCCTGTTCCTGAGGCAGCCTTACCTGATTCTGATTTGGAGTTTGATAGGATCTGCATGAGCAATGAGATGGCAAAAATTGCAGTAGCAAGGTACAACTGCACTTACCTTATATCTCTGGGTTCAGATTTGGCTTGCATTTATAACACATGGCATAACCAACTTACCTGCTATATGTATATTTGTGTATGGAAATACATGTTTCTATTTGTACATACTAGCGGAAGACACTCTGCAACACAACAAGTTGAACATTAATCGTGCATTATTTATATTTTAAATAGCAAATTATTTTCATTTTCTTTTCTTTAATTACGTAATTTAAAATTAAAATGAATAGAGGGAAAATAAGAGGTAGATGAGAGAGATAGGTGTAAATTAGTGGGGTTGTTTGACTTTCGGGAGTGTATTGGTTGAGTTATCTGATATTAAGAGCAGTGTAAAGATGTTTTTGAGTGGAAAAAATTTAGGGATGAATTTTGTACAATTAGATCAAAGGAGATGAAAATTGGATCAATCTTGACTGTTATTAAGCTTTTTTGAGCTGAAAACTCAACTTCTTAGTGGTAATATTAGATTAGATATTTATAGATACTAGCAATACATGACGTGCATTGCACATGAGTAAATAATTTAGGGATTGATACAATGAGGATCGAACTGACAAAACATGAATACTCTATGGACTAAAATTAACATTAATCCTAAAATTTAATATACTACTCTATAATATATTTTTTAAAAGAATATTAAAATTCTAAAATTTAAGTTTTACTTAAAAGATACTATAATCTATTTTTATATTTTTTTTACTTGAATTTTTGTATAAACTCTTAATAAATATGAAAAGTATACTGTTATTGAAGATTTATGTTGATTTAACATAAATTATTTTAAAAAAAGTGCGTGAAAGGTTATTTTTATCTTAAAAATGAAATTGTTAAAATTTTGGATGAAAAATAGTTGCATTTGTAAGTATAAGGTTATCTTTTATATTTGAAATGAGTAACGTTAGATTGATGAAATTTTTTTAATATTTTTTGAACTTTTTATTGAAATCTATAACGATGTATATATTTTTTAATGATAATATAACTAATTAAAAAGATTCATAGATACTTATATTTATACATAGGGAATAGAGAATTAAAAGTGATGTTAGGGATAATTTAGAGATTTAAACATGTAAGGATATAGTGGTAATTTAGATATTTAATTGTAGAAGGATACTGTAGTATTTAAAATTTTTTGTAAAGGTAAAATAGTGAATCAAAAGTTTTTTATGTTAAGGTACTTTTATTAGTAGTATAGATAAGTGATATGACATTTTAACGAGCCCATTGCTGCATGATCAAAGCATCGCATATTGAAAAGCTTCAGATTTGTTGTTGCAGTCCACCGGCAGTTAGAAAAACCAACTGGTTTGTACTAGTCCCACTGGTGAGCTATACAAGTTAACATGTAAATGCATCCTGAAAATCCTTGGATTTGTATCTAAGTACTAGTGAATCTATGTTTCTATGGCCAAACTGGAATTGTTTTTCAAGGCTTGGTTTAGGTGGGTATTTTTGTGCAAATTTAGAAGAATGTTTCATCAGCATATGTTTCACTTCTGCTGCACAAGTGTGATTATTTTATAAATATTGGATGTTTCCACGCAGACATAGTGAAATAAAACTACTTATCAAAGGCAAATTGAACATAAAAGGAATGGGCAAGCCACCTTTGACTATAAGATTGTTATCTCTCCTTTTGTTAGATTCTGGGAGTGAAAATTAAAATTATTATTTTAATGGTTGGCAGGAATCCATATGAAGACTTTTTTTTAATAGGGTTATTCCTGAAGTGCTCTTGTGAGCAACTTAATTGCATAAATTATTGGCACTTTGACGACGTGTGGTATTGAGAAACTTCTAGTTCCAGAATCTTCAAAACAAGATTTAAAAATAGGAAATCAAATTGTATTTATTATTTTTGGCATCTAAGAAATTGTGCAGTTTAAGTCGTGGAATTTGATAAGATTGACAATAAACAAAGCGATATTAAGATGCTAAAAAACGGTTTTAAGAAAACGGGACATTTTTTCCACAACTTAGTTTGCGATGGAACTCGAGTTAGGGTGGGGGGGGGGTGAAAGGAAGGGAAGGAGAATATTAAATAATGGAGGTTTTTGTTTTGATATGCAAAAGTTATAAAAGGTTAGATGGAAAAAAATAAAACAAGAGAAACATAGAGAAATCAAGGTAGATAGATGTAATATAAGCGTGGAGAGGGAAAGATATTGGAAAATAAGGCAAAATCATTTATACTTGAGGAAAGCATGGATGGGAGGAGAAAAGATGGGGGGTTTTCTCATAGCCTTTTAGACAAGACTTATTGTAGACCTATCTCAAATGCATATTTGTTATTTTTCTAAGAAGCCTTTTAATAGAGTTTTGGAAAAAAAAAAAATCCTTAAAACACGTAACAAACCTCTGAAGTTAACCTACCCAGCAGTCATAGCAAATTTTGAATAAATATACAAATTATATAGTACAGAGTCAACAAGGTAAATATGAAGGACCCAAAATCTGTTCCTAGAACTTTATTATCTGTTCTTGAAAGAATAATACTGACATAAATATTTTGTCCAATAGATTCCAAAAAAGACAAAAACTACTAAACCATATTGATTGCCATATCCTATTCTCTTGGGTATATCTCTAAGATTTGTTGAAATAGTGGAGTCCACCATTTCAAAGGGCTATGATATTAGATTCCATTTTGTCTTGTGATTGACGCTTTATGATAGTAGGTAAGAAATAACTATGATGTAGGCGATGATTTTTATGAAGAATGTTGAGCTTTGCTTCAAGTGGCATGGTCATTGTTTAATCCCGAAGGGATACGGAGGTGTGATAGCATAAATAGTGTTGTCTTATGAATTTTTTGGTCTATAGTTCATGGCAACCTTGGTATCAGAGAGTAATTACTGTCAGATGTATCAAACAGTCAAACCAATTCTGCTTTGACACCCTGAAGTTTCTTCTCCTATTTTTGACACCTTAGATTTGTGTGAGATATCTGAATATATTTGTACCTGTTACTCTGAGTTTACGTAGTTTTGAATGTAACATCAATTAACCCACTAAGCCTTTTGTCATATAAAAAGATATAAACTATTCCATGACTTGTTCTGTACACCTTTATTATTTGTTGGTCCATGCTTTGTTAAATTGTTGCTTCCTCAAAGATGGCAATGACTTGCTCCTTTAGAAATGGATCTGTCTTCTTTTATCCCAAAGTTCAAATGTACTGCTCTTTCTAGCATCTAAAATTTCATTAGTGCCACTGCCTTCTTTGACAGTTCTTAGATTCCAATGCTTATTTCTGTACATACACATCAAGTATTTTGGTGGATTTCAATTTGGTGCATTCTCTGAATAGAATTTTTGTACGCATTTGTGTATATTTTGTAGTGATTTATATGTTTTTTGCCTCCAGTTTAGGATGCCAAAAGCTTCAAGTAAGTGACCTGAGTGAGGCTATCCCAAGAGGTCTATATTGTCCCTCGTTGTGGTTTCACAAATCTTTGCTGTAAAATTTGAACTTACCAATCTTCAATATCAATGACAGGTTCTGATCATAGTAAGGCAGAAGAAAATATTGCACAAAAACCAAAAGCTGAAGAGCATATGAATTTGGAAAAGTACAATTTATTCTCTTATCATTTTCCTTCTCTCTTGTTGTTAGTTTCACACATCTGATGTTTGTTTTTCTGTAGAATGCCAAGGGTGGTTAGTGCAAATTCTCTTGCTCTACAGAATGTTGATTTGCCATCAGAACTGAAATGCTCTCTTTGCAACACTTTTTTCAAGGAGGCTGTGATGATACCATGCTGCCAGCATAGCTTTTGTGAAAAGTGTGAGTTCCTCTTGCAGTAGTAAGCTGTTTTTTTTGCCCTAATGTGATGTGCTAGAAATCTTGCCTTTTTATTTGAATAATATCTAATGGGCTTATTATCTGTATCTTTCTGCAATTAATATAATTTGCGTTTAATATTCTATAGTTTGGTGGGGAACTGTGCTTGTAGTATCTCTTGCATACACATTTGATTTTGCCTGTGGTTGGTGCAGGCATTTGTCTTGTGCTCATTGAGAAGGCAAGGTGTCCAAAGTGTTCTTCTAGCAAATGCAGAGTAGAAGATCTGCTACCAAATTTATCTCTTAGGCAAGCAATTGAGCATTTCCTTGAATCTCAAATGCTCATTGCTGTTTCTGACAATGATTTGCACAAATATGCCTCAGGTGGGTTTTACTTTCTGGTTACATTTTCATATAAAGCTGTAAAAGAAGGGGGGTGTACAGTCAAAAGTCCATTAAGCATTATAATGTTCTAATGCAGATGGAGAATCTGGAATTCAAGCTAAAGATGTTTCTTGTGCTGTAACTATTGTTCGAAGGGAGCCAAACTTGCCTCATTCTCCCTCTGCAACAGATAAAGGATCCAACCAAATTATGGCTGAATCTGTTTATGAATCATTGAACAGGAGAAATACATCCTTAGGGGGCTCCAGTTATCAAATGGGTAACCGAAGTGGAGGTAAAGCTTTGAAATCAATGCTTCTATCACCTAAAGTAAAACAAATTGATGAAGAAACTGACGGATATGCTCATCATGCTGATGTTCGAAATAAATCTAAAGATTTGGTAGCTATCACTGATTTTCAAGGAGAAAATCGGCCCCTCAATTTGACTCAAACCCACATGCCCGATGAAGGTATTGGCCCATAAACTTGCTTGCGTCCCCCAATCTACTTGGGAGGGGTTATAGTTCTATGACCATGAATTTTTACATCCATATAGTGTTTCGGTTGCTTTAGAAGGTTAATGTTGTTCAAGTAGCTTACCATCTGAAACTTTATAATTATTATATGTAGTTTCTATTTTAGTTCATCTTCCTTTTTATCTTATATTTCTGTTTGTTTGCTCTTCCACTGCAGCTGACTCAACCATCAAGAAAAAGGCGGGAATGTGGCTTGAGACTGGAGGTAGAACCTACTCTGACAATCAATTTTACTTTCATTGACATTATTTTAATGTATAAATTTTGTCCATATTACTAATAACGTTGCTTTTCAGGTGGAGACAGAAGTTTCATGTATGCTGGTAGACACAAAAGGGTATTTATATGGACCACAAATCTCCTCTTTTATAATTGTATATATAAATATCATATATGCTAGTTTCTCTAATATCACTGTGTAGCGAAATTTAGAGCCTTAGATTTTTTGGATCTTTTGGGCATATTATCACTTGTTGCATGTGGAAGCTCTTAGATAGCCTTATCAGCAATGGCTGGTCTGGAGCATTGTCTGTTTGAGGTGTTTCCCGACATATTGCTTAGGGACCTATATTATCATCTGGGTTGGAAGACAGCTTTTTGTTGTTTGATAACATGATTCTTGAGATATATAGTTTGGTTAAAGTTTATCAATCTTGGGTTCTGAAGCTGCGTGTCTCTGATTTTTCCAATTGTGCTTAAGGACCTATGTTACGGAGTTGAATATTGGTTGCTTTCTTTTCAATATGAATTGTGTTTCTTGTTTTGTCTACGTTAATGTTGTTTTTCTATGGGAACTTGCATATTCATTTCACCTTCCCCCTTTTTGCATCGCTCAAAGTTATGCCTTAATCCTTGTGTAAGAATTCTCTTTTATTTGGTACATTGTATACTTCCCATGAGCATCTTCATTAATCCTTTCTTTTCTCATATATTTACTCATTCGTCTGAATATCATCTTTGGGCTGCAGTAGTAAAACATGTTCATAGCTGCCTAACAGTACTTGGGATCCATGTTCATAGGAAATGCCTATACTTTGATTTGGCTTTTTATTTACCACAATTCATCTTCTGGGCTGTGGATTAGTTGTCTAGAAAATATGAACCTCAGGTTGAACAAAGTAGGTTCATAAAACACTTGATTTTGTTGTAAATCAGGCTTTGCTGCTGCAAATGAAATGGTTACTGTGGTGACTTTCGTATCAATCTATGCTTACTGTTGGCTATTAAGTTTTTAACATGATTAGAAGAGAAAAGGAAAACTGAAAATTTGGTATGTTATAAGAATTTCAAGCAGGTACTACCCTTTTGTTTGACTGATATTGGTCTACTTTTTCTAAATCAGGGGGACCGTACCTGTTATATGTGTGGTTCTCCAGACCATTTCATAAGAGACTGCCCTCTTGCTTCCAGTCCACATCCTATACTCCATACAGGTAACTGTATACTTGTTTCTTTTAACAAGTGTATGCATTGAAAGGCATGTATGTGCTGCTATTTATTTTTGAAATTTCAGGAAATGCCATGTTTCCTGGAGGCATGCCAGGTTATGCATCACCCTATTGGAATGGCACCGCAATGTCCCCCATGAGGCCTTTCACAAATATGTATGGCAACCCCGGGATGATGCCCTTCAATGCCACCATGGTCCCTGTTACTCCTTTTGCAGTTCCTCCATATGTTCCGTCTATGTATGGTGGCTTACCTCCCCCGGGGTATGTATGTTAATTTTGGTCTAATTTTAATAATTATCTTTGATGCTCACTTCTTTAACACAGTGCTTTTTATTCCTATAAATACGTTACTTTTAAATGTACATGTTTATGTGCATAGATTGTCACCTTTTGAAACATCTTGCAGTGGAATTACGAGAATGGGAAGCATGGGGCCTCTTGTCGGAAATATAGCTCAACGCCCTTTTGGCCATTCAGAGTTTTTGGAGGTTCAGGATTTTGAAAATAGAGGGAAGCTTTCAAACGAGAATCTGTGGAGGTAACCTTTAATGATATCCATTAATGAGATGAGGTCAAAAGGCATCAATTCACTACCATATCACTCTACCACCCCCCGGCCCCCAAAAAAAAAAATTAATATAGGACAAAATAAGAAGGAAAGCCAGAAAAGAACAACAAAACTTTGAAAAACTCAGCTTCAGAGATGGTTAAGTATTATGTGATTAAGTGGTTTATGTTTGGAATCTTTGTATGCCTGATATTCCATATTTGCTGTAATCTGAAGAACTCACGGCTGTTGATAGTTGTGCATTCGTTTAGAACACTTAGTAGCTTTGCCTGTTAGTTTGCTACTTTCTTGTCATACTGAAATTGTTTTGCTTCAACATATGTATAAAGTTTATTCGAGTTATGTCCACTTTTGCTTTGCTTTCAGATGCCCTGATTTGCTCATTTTATTAGTTCATTTTTGGCTGTTACTGACTAATGCAATTTATTTCATCTTATTTAATTGTTTGTTGTTTTTTATATGTAAGTACCTATTTATTGATTGATAACACCCACAACTGCTAATGTCCTCCAACTCCCACCCCAAAAAAAGAAATGTCATGCTAGTTCTTTAATTGCTATGATGCAATGGCTTTTCTGCAAATTGAATAAAATATTTGACTTATTTTTCTTTTGTCACTTATGTCTCACGATCTTGATTTTTTTACTTCATCGTTCCGTTAGCATTACCCGGTATATTAGGGACAAGTTTGACACCTGATACTCTGTCATTTGCACTTTCTTGGGGACCACATTTTAATGAGGTTTAACTTCAAGTTGCCTCCTTCCTTTCCCCTTTTGGTGACTCTAATTTCTATATTGCCTTAGTGGGTTTTCCGAAGTTCTAATGAACTCGTGTAGCATAAGGTGGTTGATATGTCTTCATTTTTTGAAGCATTCTTCCCGTGTTATCTCCTGATATCTAATGGGACCTTTGCTTAGCAGAGAACAATTTCGTGATGATGAAGATGATGTTTTTCAGAAGCGCTGCGATTATAATGATGCTGAAAGATCAAATGATTACAAATCTCATACAGAGAAGGAAAAGAGTGTGAGCTACTCTGAGGACAGCTTTACGCGAAGATCACGAAGGAAACATCAACATGACAAAGATTTAGATCATGGCATCCCCTCTGTTGGAGAAAGGCATGAGAAAAGTTCTCGTTCCTCGAATGCTGGAAGGGATCGGAGGGCATATCACTCAGAAAGATCAAATTCAGGTGTAGACGATATGCCTAATAGTTCTGACAGGCATAATAAAGAGAGACATAAACACCATCATACAAACTCCAAAGAGCACCAGGAGAAAAGGGGGCAGTGTGGCAGTGATTCTAGCTGGTGTCACCGTCAAACAAAAAAAGATGTTAAAAACAGGGGGGATCAGTATGGCGCCAAAGCTTCTCACCAGAATCGTCACAGCTACTCAGAATCTGGTCTCGAACCAAATTCTTCAGACGAACAGGAAAGGCGATATAAAGAGAAAGATTCAGGTCATGGCTCCAGACATTCTAGGCGAAGTGTAAGGCCTAGAAGTGATGAGCTGTGTAATGACAGGTGGCAGATGTTCAGTGGCTCCAACGAGGACTACAGGGAAGGTCATCATCACCATAAGCGGAAGAGACATCACTAAAACAAGAAAATGACATGTCATCTGAGGTAAACATGTAAATGGGGCCATACATATCAACTAAGGTGATCTATCTGATATACTTTCCTTTCAAGTAGGTAACTTGTAGCAACTGGGTTTTGGTTTAAGGTTTTGTTTATCATCCTTTATCTACATATAAATGATGGATTTAGTATTTGTCTATACAACTTTTATGCACACTCATAGGCATGTTAGGATCTAATCTACAATCTTTGTTGGCTTTGTTGATACAGATCTATTAGAGTGGTCGGCTTTTGGACAGTAACATCATGGTTAACCTTTGTTAATATTTGCTAACTAACTCTCTTCACTTCTTTAGCGTGAGGTGTGGATGCTAGCAAAAAGTTTTATCCAGAGGAGCTCTGGATAATTTAAAATAGGGTTTGGCTGATTTTATGTGCTGCCCAAACATCTTTTAGCACAGAGGTATTGAAGCTGATGGAGGTATGTTCTTTTTAAAAATCTAAATGCTTTCCATCTATTTTCCCTTTCTAATTGCGAGTAAACTTGACCCCCTTCCCTGGAAAAAAAGTTCCTCTTCTAAACCCTCTTAGCTTAATTTGGTTCTGCCCCTCTAATAATAATATGGGCGTGAGTGTACGATTTTGTCTACCACAATTTGTCAACCACAATTCTAAGTGGAAGTTTTCCATTCATAAGGTATTTAACTATTACCGCAAGTTTACATTCCTGTTTGTTATTTTTTAAAATGTCATCCTAAAAAAGGACTTGTGTTTTTTTCCCTTCTTTCTTATCACTCCTGGTTCTCGGAGCCTCTGCCCCACTCCCTCCCCTTTTTATTTGAGTTTGCCTCTTTCTTTGCATTTGGGGAAGGAAGAGGGGATTGTCGTGTTGAAATATAAATGCTTAAGTTATACCATCTCCAACAACTTGAGTTTTTGAAGTAGATGTATTCGAATTTTGTTGCCTCCCTAATTATTAAAAGATTTTTACGTGTTGATCTAAAATTTAGTTTACATGTGAAGGGGTATGTTAAAATATAAATACTTAATTATATTATTTTCAACAGCTTAATTTTAAATTTATTTACTTACATCATCTGCAACAATTTAATTTTAAATTTATTGAATTACATCATCTCTTGCAGTTAAATTTTTAGACGTTGACCTTGACTGAAACCCCGGCCCTGACCATTTGTGTGTTTACGTGTGTTAGTGTTTTTGTATGTCTTGGTATATTTGTGTGTGTATTTTTATGTATTAGTATGTGTGTTTTTTGTTTTAGTGTACTAGTGTGTATGTGTTTGAGTTTTGGTGTATTATACGTGTGTATGTATTTTGATGTATTAGTGTGTGCATGTATGATTTTGGTGTATTAGCATGTGTATGTATTTTAGTGTATTAGTATGTGTGTGTATTTTAGTATATTATTGTGTGCATGTGTGATTTTGGTGTATGAATGCGTGCGTGTATGTATTTTGGTGTATTAATATGCGTGTCTGTATTTTGGTGTATTAGTATGCGTGTATGTGTATTGGAATATTACTGTGTACGTGTGTTTTGGTGTATTAGTGTGTAAATAATTTAATTTTCTTGGGCTTAGCTAGTTTGAGCATAAAACATATGTTTTTGGATAAGAATTCTTATTTAAAGTTTCTAGACAAAGGTGATCTCGCTCTCGCTTTAGCTTTTGGGGCGCAGACAACCCTAATATTTTATTGGATCGTATCGTATCGTATCAAACCACCTAAGAGTGTTGATGCAAAAGTGTATAGCATTTGCTATTTTGTTGCGTTGTTACAGTTATGATATAGATAATTTTTGGCATCGACCTCTTATGGTATGTTTGATAGGATGAATGAAAAAATGGAAGATAAAAAATAAAATCTTTCAAGGGAAGAATTGTTCTTGCTATCATTTGTGTTTTGATAGGAGGGATGAAAAATAGAAATAATTAATTTTTTTTTTTTGGGTGCGGTAGAATATAAAAATGGAAGGATGAAAAAATGGTGAAAGGTCCATATTTGGAGATTTTTTGGACTTTAGGTTAAGTCTCAACACTTTTAAGGCCAAAAGTCTATACTCTTGATAAAATACCTTTGATGAAAGAGGTTATTTAAATTTTTTTATCATTATCCTATTTTTAAATTTATTGTCACTGCCACCGCCATTGCGACCATAATTATCACAATCACTCACTTCTACTATTGTCGTCACCACCATCCCCACCATGGCTACACAACTACGCATTGCCTCCTTCGCCATCCACTAACATCATTACAAATAATCACCACAATTATTGCCATCAATCATTGTTTGTCGTGGCTGCCGCCACCACCACCACCAGTAGTAACTATCGTAGCCAACCACCATCATAACTATCCATAACCATAGTCCACAAAACCATTATTGTAACCATTACAATTGCCATTGTCGGCGACACCACCCACCTATCATCGCCATAACCATTATCATTATCGTCCACTATCACAACCCATCACTCATCACATACCCCCATCTTTGCCAATCACCACCATGCAATGCACACAAATGCCCATCACCACCATTATTCACTTTAATCACCACAACTACTCGTTGACACCAATCACTTTCATCAACCACCATTACCATTATTACCATTGCTGCCAATCCCTTGCCCAGACACCTACACCTTCTCTGGTACCCTCTTTATTCACCACCTAAAATAGTGAAAAATTAGCCTATCATTGGCACTCATTGTCATAGCTAACAACATTTACCCATTATCACCAATCACTGTTATCAATACCATCGATAACTGTCCACTACAACCAACAACCGTCACTATAGCCACAAAACACCACAACCCACCAACACCATTGGTCGCAACCTATTACCACAATCATTGCTACCAACACCCACCATTGTCGCCAACAACCACCACCCAAATCAACCACCAACCCCACTACCATTCACCACTACTCGTCATCCCAAACAGTGAAAATTTAGTGAACTCAAAAATGTTTTAAAAAATATAAATAGTAAATTTTAATATAATTAGCTAACAAATTTTTCCCAAATAATGAACTTCAATATAATGAAATTTTTAGTTCACAAAATTTTTATAAACAGTGAAATTGAATAGAATAAAAATCTTAGGTCGCTATTCAAAATTTTCATAAAATGTAAAATTTAAAAAAACAAAGAAATTGAATAGAATAAAAATTTTAGTTCACTATTCAAAATTTTCATAAAATGTAATATTTAAAAAATGAAAATTATAGTTTACTGTCCAAAATTTTAACAAACAGTGATATATAAAAATATTAGTTGTGTCCTGTGTTTTTTTTTTTTAAATGTATGTGTCGAGTTATTGTGGTTAGAAAGATAAAATTTAAGTGAGTTACTATAATTAAAAGTTAAAAAGTTAAAAGTTAAATTAATTACCATGGTTAAAATTTAAATGAGTTATTGTGGTTAAAAAATTAAAAAAATAAATTATAATATATACAGTTGGATCATAAATGATCCGAGTTGTGTTTTTTAAACTGAGGAGTAAGGCAGTTCAAGTAGGGGAGACTCTGTTTTATTATTGTAGATTATAAAAGTTTTAAAATTTTGAATTGTGAAGCATATATTAACAACAAAAAACTCAAAAATATTAAAAAATATAAACAGTAAATTTTAACCAAATGAAACTAATAGTTCATAAATTTTTTAATTTCAAATTTTGTTGTTTCAATGATGGTGAAATAAATTGGGTCATTTGATATTTATCTATTTTACTTGTTGAAATATGAAAAATTTTAAAACAGTAAATTTAATAATTTTTTATCTAGTTTTAATGTCTTAGACAGTAAAAACTTAACTTATATATTAAAACATAATTAATGGCATGAAAATTCTATATATCAAAAATTGTGAATTCAAAATGAGTAAAAACAGTAAACTCAAAAATAATGAAAAATTAATGAAGTCAAAAATAATGAAAAACAGTGAATTCAAAAGCAGTGAAAAATAATTGAACTCAAAAGTAGTTAAAAATTATTGATTTCAAAAATAGTGAACCCAAAACAATGAAAAATTAATAAACTAAAAAATAGTGAAAAACAAACTCAAAAATAGTTGACCATAATATACTATACCAAATACAATCAAAACAACAAAAGAATTGTCCTATTCAAATTCACAATCCTCAAATCCCCTAATAAAAATCAATTTGTCACAAATCCATTCCAATTTTTGTGAAAATAATACAGTTCATATACATACATATAACCATGTGTGTGCAATTTTCAGGGGTGGTGCTCTAGATCTCACCTCACACCTTCTCTGGCGTCGGCATCGTCGTTGCCATTGGTCTCGACTGAACTCGACTTATTGATGTGTGTCGAGCAGCGTCGAGAGTAGAGAAAGAAAATGAATTTTGTGTGCAACAGAAATCACAAAAAAAATGATAACTTAAAATTTTACAATGGACTGAGCTATGAATGCTGTGGATTTAATTGAGTTGCATAGGTAACTTTTGTGTTTGCCATAGCATATGCAAGCTTTTGGTTTCTTATAATCCTTTCAATGGAATTTCAGTTGAAATTCTTTCAACAGTTGATGTTCACTGTGAGATGCTCGCTGTCTATGGTCGCAGTCAAGGTGGATGTTTTAGATCTCATAACTATAAGATCAGTGACATGTCATCCAATAGATCTATGAGATTTGAAACATCGACCTTGACCACGAGCTTGAAGCTCCCACAGAGAAGTTGAAATTCTGCGTTCTGCTTAGATTTAAATTGTTGAGTGGTGTTGGATGATTCCACTGGGCTATTTGGCCTTCACAGAAGGTGTACGAGGACTCTCCTACCGTTACTGCCATCGACCTGTTCTTTCTCGACCCACAGTTTTCATTTGCTTCGAAAGCGACGAAACTTATTAGAGCTGAAGAGGAGAGAGAGTATAAATCAAAAGATAAGAGAGAATACTAGAAGTACGTTGGTCATACCAAAAAAAAAAAAAAAAAAAAGAGAAAAAATTAAATTGGACTACAAGATAAAAAAAAAAAAGAAAAAAAGAATATTGATGTAGACTTAATGTCATAAAAGTATAATCTCTTTACTAGAAGACCAAAAAAAATTCCTAATGGAGTTGTGATTAATTTTTACTTATATATAAAATTAATATGTAAATAATATGGAATTGGTAAATAATATGTAAAAGTTGCAAATTCCTAATTGAAGTTGCAACTTTTGATTGTTAATGCAATTGGTTTAGTAGCTCTAACAAATGTGACAAAGGGATTTGATGGGGCAAATTTGTTTGCATTACAAGAAGTAATGTATGACTTCTCAGTAAAACCAATCTTTATTAGTATTTTGGTGGTACTACTTTTCACTTCCTATAATGAAATTTTTTTGGGCTTTAAAACCCTGAATGCAAGAGTATTTCCAAAATGTTAAAATCAATTGGAGTTTTAGTTTTTTCAAGTTATTTTCAATACATTTCATTGAGAAACAAAAGTGTATTTAATTATTCTCGT